TTCCCACCTCAGATTATAATTTCTAATTAATCTTGACAATGTAGTTACTCGTTGGTGGCTTTGTCAGCTACTCAGTACCCGACAAACCAAGTCACGTATGTAGGATGTAGATCATTTTTCTTATCTAGATACGAACTAGTAGCAGTGATGTAAGTTCGAACTTTAAAAAACACGCACGATTATTTGATATAGTAACTTAGATTTTGTTTCGACCGGTATGTTTTCTAGCCTTCTTCAGGTGTATGTTGTATTCAGTAATCTGCAATTTCATTCTATAATCTGGAATGCTTCATTGATTCAATTCATAAAGATTTCTCTTAGGTTTTTATTCTTGTGAGGACATTAGTCCGAATTATTAACGGAGTGATAATACTTCATCTCAAATATTCAGACACTGCTTTATAAGCTTATCTGAATTTACAAGTAATGAGAACAATAGCCTAATGGATCAAATAAACGTTACATTTCGATATTTCTGGTTGATTACCGAATGCAAAAGATATACAGTGTAACCCGGATATGAGACCCGGATATAAGAGAGATTTTCTCTGGTCCCAAATTAGAGCCTGTGTTAATGTATACAAAATAGACCAAACCCGGATATAAGCGACTTCTTCTCCGGTCCCGACAACTCTCTTATATCCGGGTTACACTGTATAAGGAAAGCGGGAGAGTTCAGCGACTGAAATGAGAAAACTATTCTAAATGTATCAATGTATTAGGTGTGTGTAACTTTCCAGTATTTTTTATTACGAAAAAAAAGCTTTTCTACTGTGTATTCAGTTCTTCCGGAAAAAGTGGGCGCTGGGAACATTGTATACGCCCAATTTAACGGTTATGGTTATTACTTACAGTCGAAATAATGTCCCCATCTTCTTACTATCACGTTTCGGCCGTTATGCCTTGCGAACTTCTTCAGATCTGGTTAATCTTCAGGGAATCTCGAACTGAAGTTTTTATATAATGTTAGGACATAAATCGTTCTCCTGTCTTTTTTTTTTATTTTTATTTTTATAAGTACTGCTCAGTTTCTGCTCATCATGTTTCAATTGAGTCTGTACTACCGGGTCCAGGGATTGAATTCACACTTACTATAACCAACAAATTCATGAACCAACACTTTAATCTTCTTGTCCCGGCCTGCACAAAATGCGACACGCGAGACTAACAAGTGTCGCGAGCGAGGGTTTTTCAAAATCGTATTTTTTTTTGTTCTTCAAAATAAATTCGGCGACTGACCGCTTACGAAAAATTCAGTTTTCTGGAGGCATACCTTCATTCAACTAATGCTGACTTGTAATAAATCTTTTTAAAATTACTAAATATTAGAAAATCAAAAAAAAAAAAAATTCACCTAAACATGGGTCAAAGCTAAGTAAGAACTACAGGGTGATTGAAAAGTAATTTCCTATTTTATGTATGATGGACTCTTCCGTCTTGTAAAAATTATAGTTAAACGGGAGAGTCCATCATACATAAAATAGGGAGTTACTTTTCAATCATGCTGTATATCTAAACCTTTCTTATCCAAAAATAAATGCATAAAAAACGATCGACATACTTCATTTATGCCATTCTGACTCTAAAAAACATATTCTTGCGGCCCGCGGCTAATTTTTTTGCGAGCAAATGTGGCACTTCACATTATTTAATTGCAGAGGCTTGCTGTAGGCTATTGTTCCGGGAACAACAAATACAATCTACTCTTGTATGTTAAATAAAGGTTTCGGTTCGATATTACCTGAAGGTTACCCAGATTGATAGACAGCTGAAGAAGGTACAAGAACCTAAACGTTGTGATAGTAGCAACAAAGATGGGAACATTAGTCCGGCTGTAAATAATAACTCCTCATTCCAGAACTTCAAACAAGTTACACTTATTGCCCCAAAATGTATAAATGTTTGTCTTCTGGCCTTGTCTTCTAATTGTTATTCTGTTAAATCACGTTGAGACAAACAGACGATGTAATGTCATTCGGTATGATTACTGGGAACTGTACAAGAGTATAATCCTATAAGTTCTGTGATTGTTTTGTTTTACAGCCTATCAACCCTTTTGTGGGTTATTTAAAGCCGAAACATTTTTTTAATTGTATAAAAATAATTCTATTTTTTCTTTTTCGAATGAATACTGCATTGACAATTTGGAGGGTAAATATAAATTATACAACTTACATGAAGATAAACCGTATAGAGATCGTAAATTTTTATTTTATTATAAAGGCCAATCTCCTTTACGAACTGCAAAATTTCAATTGGTTCGGTATTTTCGAACAGTTCCTTTCGGTCATCTGCTATGCAGTACGTGACTGTTTGTTGGAATTCGCTACATATTACCAGTACATACTCAATCGTCTATGATTCCTGATATGGTATACACAACTGTGGTTCTTTGCTTTTGCGCAGATGTTGGTTCGTACACGAAATCTGGCTAGAACCACTTCCCTTCTTCCTATCTTTCTGTAGCCCGGGTGCTATTTCTTGAGGCTTGGCTCTGACAATTGTTCAAGAACTGTTATCATTTGTCTTTCATAAACTTGTTGATCGTAAGACGCAAGTAAGTGTAAGGATTTTGTTTATAATATTTCAGGGTATCATAATTAAACGTCCTTTTGCTGTTTTATTGGTTTTTCATTTCTCTCGATATTAATCTGAGAAGATGGTATTGTTCATTCAATACAATATATATTTAATAGACTTTTTAAAAAAGATTTATTATGAAATCAACAAATTCATCAAACTCTTTAGAATGAAACATTTTGAACTATTTTTTGTTATGTTTAAAATAAGTTTTTCTCTTTCTGGTAATCGTGGATATGCTGATAAACTTCAGGACTGGTCGGGAGATTGAAGGTTTTGGGGAGCATGGAACCACCTCTTAATTGCTGTTATTCACACGTCTACCCTGACCCGGTATGGTAGCACCTGTGAGGATCCCAGTTATGGGAAAATAGTGAACCTCCAAACAAAAACAAAACCTTATGAAATTATAAAAATAGAATCGTAGAATTATTAACAATACTCATTTATAGTAGTACAGTGTAACCCGGATATAAGAGAGTTGTCGGGACCGGAGAAGAAGTCTCTTATATCCGGGTTTCTCTTATATCCGGGTTTGGTCTATTTTGTTTACATTAACACAGGCTCTAATTTGGGACCAGAGAAAATCTCTCTTATATCCGAGTTTCTCTTATATCCGGGTCTCTTATATCCGGGTTACACTGTATTACAAACAATATATTTTATCTGTAGTTGAAGGCATACAATTGAGTTCAAAATATTTCGATTTCAGCATTAAATAATCCAAAGACATTGATATGCCTCTAACCAACCAATCCAACAACCAATATGAAAGAACTGTTTCATGACATTAATCCATATAATAGCCTACAATTTCTTTAATCAAACTGTATTCCAAAATATCACTTCAATAAAACTACAACATAAAACACACATAACACTGCTGCTAGTAATTATTAGTATATGCACAGAAGTCGAGTATCATCTACCATGTATTCAATTGTGAAAGCAGAAAAAACATTTTTATTACTTCAAAACTCCCAAGAAAATCAAATTTTGGCATTAAATGACCCACAAGGAGTTGATATGCCGTTAAACAAATCAATCATTCAATTCTCTTTCTGGAGCGCAACTTAGAACACATAAACTCTTATATTACCATCATAATGTCGACATAAGTAAAGATTTACATATGTGCGGTTTAATTGGTTGATTCGTCATTTCTTTTTTTAAGCTTTTCACCCGAAGCAAGGCGGGAGTGCCACTAGCAAGCAAGAGGTTACAGAGAGTGGGAGTAAGAGTAAAGAGGAGAGAAAGAGGAAAGAATGAAGAGAAGGACGGGGACTAGATCAAGGCGTCTGGAGATGTCGATTGATATTGCATTTGAATAGTTGGAGATTATAGCTATCAGGGAAGCAAGTAAGAAGAAGGGAGTTCTACAGACGAGAAGTGCGAGACATAAAGTTATTGGAGTAGAAGAGACAGCTTACATTTCAACAGTGAAAGTGTGGGACTGAGATGCCGACCTAGTGGCAGGTTTAAATTCATGCAGTTTGGGAACTAGCGAAAATAGCTCGTTGGAGCAGTTACTGTGAAAGTATTTGTAGAAAATACAGAGGGAGGCGACGGCATGTCTGTGAGAGAGCGACTGTAAACGAGATGCCAGATCAGGACCTATCATCTTGCATATTCGTCTCTGGATTTTGTCTAGAACCCTAAGACAAACAGCGGAGGCTCCAGATCATATATGACAGCAATATTCCATGCAAGGGGCGAATGGTTGATTTATAGATTTGAAGGATGGACTCGGACGAGAAAGACTTTCTGGCGTGACATATAGAACCAAATTTCCTTGCGGTAGATGAAGCTATTGATTCAATGTAATTGTTCCATCTTAGGTCTGCGGACAGTGTGAGACCAAGTAGTCGCAAAGAGGTGCTCTCGTGGAGTTGAGCAGCAGGCATTCTAATGGGAGACAGGGAGGGTTCTCTGTGGAGGGTAATAGAGAACAGTTTTGTTTTTGAGGCATTAAAGTTAACCAGCCATTTCCTGCCCCAGTCAACAAAAAATTGGAGGTCCAGATACCAGATTTGTAATTTAGGCAGGAGTAATACTGTCATCTGCATAGAGGCCTACTTAGAAAAATGATGAAACCGGGAATACGTTAATGAAGATAAGGAACAGTGTAGGACCCAGGATAGAGCCTTGTGGAACACCTGCGTTCGTGAGAAAGGGCTTATCAACCCATTGCAGGTTATTTAGAGTCAGAAAATGTTTTTAGATTGTAATAATTTGGGTGGGGGATAATAATGATTCAGTGATATAAGTCTTATTAATTAACCCATAGCTGGGGGAGAAGAAGTGAATTTATACCTTTCCCAGGGGTATTTGTGTTGAGTGAATATAAGGAACCCAACAAGAATTGGAACTCCGATTAACAATTCCGAGCCGTTATCCATTACACCACCTGCACATCGAAGCTTACAGCATCTGGTATTCCCAAGCGGTCGCCCATCTATACTGACCACGCTTGACATTGCTTAACTTCGGTGATCATACGAGAATCGTTACATTAGTGTGGGTTTTACAAGTACCAAACAGATTCAAAAGAACAGATTTTATGGAAATGTGACTCTCATATAACAGGCATATAGCGTGACTAAATATTTATATTATTTATATAACAGATTTCACAAACATGTGATAGATTTTCAGAAAGATGCATTTTAAATACGAATGTAATAAAGTAGTAAAAACAACTTATTCGCATTTATTGCCTCTTCTGAAAAAAGCTGATGTTATGATGAAATATCAATAACTATCATTAATGCAGGTGTGAGAGAACAGTTACGTATATCAACAATAGAAAAAAGCGAAAGCCTACTTTTTTTATTGTAGCAACTGATAAATGACGTGAATTTTGCATTACTTGTTTTCTTTTGTCTTTTTTATTAACCCCAAAGATAAAATCGGTTGCCCAAGTTCATTCAAATATCGGCTGTATGATTGAAAACATGTAAATTTGGCATCAACCCTGTAACAATTGCTAGCCAACAGCCAAGAGTTTATCGAACGCTTTTTAAAGAGGACAGACCTAACAATCACAATAAATTAAACATCCAATAAACTGATTAGGTTATTGAATGTATCGAGTGAAGAAGCAAAATTTGCAAAATTGATGTGACCTTCGAGACTCACGTGTTATACATAAATAGGCCGATTAAAACAAAGAGATATTAATAAAATATATATTATATCAATGCTAATTATTTATTCAATATGGCCTCCATTAATTTCAATTACAACCGCAACTTCATCTATGAGCTGTATCCTTTCAGAACGTAGGCGGTCATGTCTCTCCACAACTTCCTATCCCTTGTAGATCAGTAAGATTTGTCTTTTCACTATCACTCCCAGTCACTGTTCTCCCAATCTATTTATTTACACAAGCTTGTTAGGTGGGTTATTCGCTGTTTACCTCTGTCCATCAACATTTCCAAACCCTCTTTCCTCATTATGTGTCCCAGAAATGTCAACAGTTTCTATCAGCTTCTAGATTTGAACGTCCTTTTTTATTTCCATTTTTCTTTAATATCTGTCTATATTTCTGAGATGAGGTATAATGTACATTATTTACATTATTCGGACTATTGTCCTCATCTTTGTCGCCATATTTATTACAACGTTTCGGTCGTTGTACGCTCCGGCCTTCTTCATTGTGGTTGGAATGTCGAACTGAACCCTTTATTTCGCTCACTGGAGTAGACTGTTCTAGTTCCACGTGCCATGTTTAATGGATGTCAGTTATCAGTTATCTCCAGTGACAGGACCCAAAGAGTGTGAGTTCAATACCGGGTTAAGGCAGTGGAGAACTTTCAGAGGGAAATTAACAGGAGATAACTGATAACTGACATCCATTAAACATGGCACGTGGAACTAGAACAGTCTACTCCAGTGAGCGAAATAAACGATTCAGTTCGACATTCCAACCACCTGAAGAAGTCCGGAGCGTACAACGGCCGAAACGTTGTAATAAATATGGCGACAAAGATGAGGACAATAGTCCGAATAATTTTTCTTTAAACTTACTCATATGTTCAGTCCACGGAATTCTCAGCATGTTTCTATAGTACTACATTTCTGTTGCCTCAAGTCACTTGTGAGGAGATTGTCAAGCATTCACTTCCATATAGGAGGACTGTTATTATACGACAGTTTAGTAATCTTTGATTTGTTTCTAATGAAATTTTGTGTTTCTTAATACTTTGCTTAGCTTTGGGGTGTCATTTTTCGCTATTCCAATCCGCATTTGTATTTCGGTAACACATTTTCCGTCCTCTGTTAAAACACTTTTCAAGCTTTCGTACTTGCTTGATTTCGGTATCTACAATTTCGTAGTTTGCATCCTGGGCTCATTCTTTTGTTGATAATCTTATATTCTGTCTTCTTACAATTGATGAGTAGTACTTTCTTTTCACTTTTCTTCACTAATTTCTGTAAGAGTTTTTGTAGTTACCTTTCTGTGTTTGTTACCAACACTGTGTTATCTGCATATTATACGTTGTTAACATTTTGTCCGTTAATATAAAATCCTGGTAGGACTTGTAGTTCTTTCAGGATTTCCTCACTATAAAGGTTGAATAAGTCTAATGCGAAGACATATCCTTATATACGCCGCTTTCTATTTTCGTGTATTTCCGTCTTCTGTTAAAACACTTTTCATATATACGACGTTCTTGCACTGTCCAATAGTGATATTTTCTACCGAGTTGCAGTAGCAGATGACATATAATAAGATATAAAGATGACACAGTATTGATAACAGATACAGAAAGGAAACTGCAGGAAATTTTATAGAAGTTAATAAAAGAAAGCCAGAAGAAAAGACTAACGTTCAATTGTAAGAAAAGAGAAAGTATAGTTATCGGTTTCCTCAAGTTTCTTGTGTATCTGTGAGGAGATTGTCCAGCATTCACTGCTATAGACGAGTAAAGATATTACGTAACAGTTCAGTACTCCTTTTTTTTTGTTTCTAACTATTAAAACTTTGCTGGACTTTTGGAAGGCATTTTTGATATTCAATTACGCCTCTGTTAACGCACTCTGTGATATTTAAAATTTCTTACTTGCTTAATTTTGGTTGTTCGCATCTTGGGCTCTTTTCTCTTGCTGACAATCTTATAGTCTCTCTTCATACAATTGATGTTTAGTGCTTTCTTTTCGCTTCCCGCCACTACCTCTGTAGGAGTACTTGTAGTTTACCTTTCTGTGTCTGTTACCAACACTGTGTCATCTGCATATTTTACGCTGTCTGCTAATATTAAATTCTCGTAGGACGTGTAGTTCTTTCAGGGTCGCCTCATTATAAATGCTGAATAAGTCTTATGCGACATAAGCTACTTTCTATTTTCGTGTATTTACTGAATTTATATTCAATCTGTATTCAAGCGGTTTGTTCCTAATCTAAGTATTGGAGCCTCGACACGAAATCGAAAAGAAGCGCATCTCTTATCTACAAAATCCTTGGACATCTTACACAACTCCTTAATTGCAGCTTGCAGAGCGCTGATGTTGAGCTGGATGATCTCAATGGTGGCCCGCTACAAAACGTCTCACATATTGTGCTTTAGCAAGTTCAGGTCCGGTCTGGAGGAATAATAGAAATCCATTAGCCAGAAATAAGCAATGTAAACTCTGATCCTAGTAATAGTTATCAGTAATCTTTTCTCAAAATTTGTACAAGAATGGGGTTATATTTTTCTGTCGGACGCTACACACCTAAGATCATGACCTGGACTGAATATATGATCTCAAGTGAACTCTTGAAATGAACCGTTGACGCTGTGGGGCGCTGATAATTGTGGTGGTTTAAAATAATGTCCACTGAGATTTTATCGCTAAATGATATTTTACCAGTGGACTCGAGGTTATTGAGATATTGTGCACTTTCTTGCACTTTTCCAGCTTTCTGGCCTTGACAAATTCTGCGAGGAGACGCCTTGGCGCCCTGATGCAGGATTTAAAGCCCAGGTCGTCATGAACAGCAGTTCAGACGGTTCTTAGGGTTCACCTTGTGATTAGCGACTATCTTACGCAAGAACGTTGTTGGGTCATTGCACATCTTGTTTCAGGAAGCGTTAATAAAGCTCCCTGTTGACCTCAGGGCTGATAAACTTCATCAGGATGCTACTACTCATGGTTTTTTTTTTTTGGTAGGAACATATCAACTATTTTAGGGATGCTTTTAGAGTCGATTTTTCGCACGAAGCAATCTGGAATTCTTTGCTGTCGGTCCTGTGAAGCCATTTTCCATGAGATTTCTAAAAGCTTTCTCGGTATTAAAAATGTTCTTTATTTTGCATTTGGTTTCATATCATCTGATGTAATGGTTGGGGAGGGAGAGTTTGCCTAACATGTACTTAAAGTTATTATTTCTCACGCTGTAGATATTGACTAACCTTTTTCTAATCTGGTAAAATGCTGCAATAGTGAGACGTCTAATGTGGATCGAACTCACTAGATTAAAAACACTTAGACAAGGCATTTAGTTTCGTCTGACACAATATTGTCCTCCCCCGCCTTAGCAACGCTGAAGATCGGAGTGAATATACGAGTGAATAATCTCAAAGATACATTTTCGCACTGTAAGAAAAACAAACGAATATTTAACCTTATAGTGAAGTTTTATTCAATACAGTTTGATTACTGTTATTTACTCATCCCCCTCACGGTGACACAAGGGGAGCCCAAGCACCAAGGCCAAGGTAAAAAAAAAAAAAAACCAAAAAACAATTGCCTCGTCCCCGCAACCAACGTCGTGCTCGCGTTGATATTTCACTGACCCTCCCACTTTAGTGCAATGAGGAATGTGCTAACGCACAAATCTGAAATTCCCGGGACTAGGTATTTCTCATTCCTATTTCTTTCTCTTGCGCTCCGTCCGAAGACACAAGTTGAGAGATATAATTGTATTCACTTACCCAAAATGGCAGGGTTTTTACTACTGCCCCTAAAAAAGGGTTGGACATTTCTTTTATAACCGAGTATTTCGAGTAGACATATATGGTTGCCTTCAGCACATTGACCATCTCTTTAAAATAATATACGCCTTTAGGTTATTTACTGCATTTATCTTAATCTGGCACAAAGCTATAATAGTGGAGTTATGAGTGGAAATAAATTATGATACAAGCTTGCTAGACATTACGCTGAAGTAGGTATTTTTAAAATAATAATTAGTTTGATTTAAGGCCTTAACGGTAGGGTATTTAAGGAGAATTGCACAAACAATATTCTGCTAACCATTGAGCTATAGCACACGCTTTCGTCGGAGAGACGAGCTCATCAAACAACATATGATATGTGTCAGTTTCTGTGGAGGTGAGCAAATCTTTCTATGGATACAATGTATGTGAAGTGTAAAAATCGTACATCTATAGCGTTCATCACACACACACACACACACACACATACATACCTATACAAATTCAAATTTCAATAACAATCATTCGTTGGATAGAAATCAACGCTACTGTCTTATGCGACAATTTTACATTAGCTATATTTTCGTATAGTAGATTTTGTGCACTTTTGGGAGAATCGGCTCCCAGAAATCTCCCCAAAGCTCATTCACAGATTGGTCAGTGCCGACCAATCGGATTGTCTACACGTGAAGAGTTATTCTTCCCGCGCAGCGCTTTTGATCCAATAATCACCTATAAAAGCAAGAAAAAAATGTAGACACACCAGTGAGACTTCAGCTACCACAGAAATCCACGACAGTTGAAGCTATGCGCCGGTCTCACTCAACACTCACAAACTGCGTATTCCTTACACTTACATAATTTTTGCTCTTGCACAGCAAAACTGTTAAGAAACATTTATTACAAACTATTAACTCTTTCTTTTCAGAGAATTTTGATAGACAATGATAGTCAAAGAGAGACATCTCTCGTCTTACTCATTGCATGCTTTTTCTTACACATTCTTTATTGTATACATTGTTGAATACAATTTTTATATATAGTGATACCTTTGCCTTGTCCTTTTTTTACATTAGTTTGGTTTCCTAATCAAAATTAAATAAATGTGGTGGAAGTCCGCCACACATCAGTATTAGATTGATTACCTACCGTAAAGTGACGATTACCACGCAAAACATGAAAAATATTACAAATGAAAACGCGCCAGACTAGATGCTTTCCGTTATGGCCTTGTGCCAGTTTAGGCTAAACCTCATAAATATCAACTTACAACAGATGCATAGGAGTCGTCTGCTGTAGTGATTGATATCAAGTTAGCTTCTCTAGACATTGCGAGAGAGTTCATTTTCAGTGGATGCTTCACTATTGTTACTTTGTGTCTGAATAAGCTTAGTAAAGCTATACAATACGGGTTTATACATGTGATCATAATAGAATGCATAACAGCATTTATAGAGAACGTTAGTTAACACTGACTTGATGGGTCGATTAAATAAGGCAGACGAATTACTAGCATTTAATAGTTATCTCCCTTTTTTTCACTTGCGAACGTGCGCTGATCCTATAAGTTATTCAGGTGCAAATCAATCAGGTTTTTTACATTTTAGATGCATTTTCCGGCAACCTTAATTCAATGCCTTTGATTGAAATGCACCGTTTCGTATTTGAAGAATTTTTTTTTCACTTGAGCCCGAATACAGAAAACAATATTAGCAGTCAGTTGCAAATCCCCTCCGAACTTTTGTTTGCTTTCTTTAAGGTAGCGCATTTTAGGAGTAACTCAATTCAATACGCACCGTTTCAGTTACTTAGAAGTTACATACAGGTATACAAAACTATACTTTTGTTATTCTGTACATACTTGCGTAAACCCAATGACTGAGTTGGTCAAAAGTATTTGAAGCATGAACGTTAGGGCAGGTCGATTTTGGAAGCGTAGCATTCAATTTGAAAGTTGGGGTTTGACATCATAAATAATAAAACAAAATATCTTCTTCCAAATATTTACGTTTTTTGGGGGGCGGAGTTTAAAGATTAAGTTTAGGTTCAAAATCGTAGCGTTACAATATCATTCCGCTGATCAGTGAAACCCTTTTAAAATTTATAATTTACTGAAGCTTCACAAATTGTATATGGACAAGAAGCATGGCACAATCACATTATTAATAAATAATTTTGCCATCAAATAAGACTTTCATTTACTTCAAAGGAAAATTATACGAACCAATTTAGTTATATTATGATGTAATGTTATACAGCGCAGTGGTTTTAGTGTGATTTTCAATAAACAATGCAAATTTAAAACATTTTGTCCTACAATTTGTTCCCAATTAGAATTCTTTTTACAGTTTTAACTTATCGAATACAATAAAAAAAAATGTATATTTTGCTTGTGGTGATTATAACTTAGAATTCTGTTTTGAGTATATTTTCCATTCAATGTATAGAATACAAAAGATATCAACTTGAAATAATAACATTTTGAAGTCAGTTTGTAAGCAAAAAACTGAGGAAATTAGATATTTTTGTACATTTTCCAAACAATCTTTAAAACTAAATGCTCCAAATTTGGTAAAAGCTATGAATCTAATTGTTGGTGTCACTATTTATCACATCGAAATCTCAGCTTTCACATCGAATGCAATGTTGATTTAAAAAAAAAAAAAAGAAAAGTAAAACATCCACCTGTCCTAATAAACATCAGATAATTTATCCACAATTTTGAATCTTGATCCCGATGTACAACATCTTAACATCTTATCTGAAACTTGGAAAAATATAATAACAAAATCAAACTGATTATATATATATATATATATAAACAAAGAACAGTAAGATATATAATCCGGTGTTATTATAGATATTTTTATTTTTTCAAAATAGTGCTCAATGTAAATTTACAGAGCATTAATTTAAAAATAAGTTACTTCAAAATTCGATTCAGGATGAAATGGAACTAATATCTTTAATTTAATTGCAAAATTAAATTCGAAGCTTTTAGCTTCCATTTTTGAAACATGGTTAGAACTGTGTAGCGAAAAAAAAACATATTTTAAATCAGTTAATTTATAATATATATATATATATATATATATATATATATATATATATATATATATATATTAAGATATTTTTATGTTTATACATTCTAAAATATAAATAGAAAATATTCGTCCTTCGTTCTATGAAAATTTACGGACATTCAGGCCGGTAAATGTTATTAATACTGTTTATTATAAACAGAGCATTTACTTAAATATTTGTATCTATAAAAAAGAATGTATAAACATAAAAATGTCTTAAAATAATTGTCGGACTTTGTCCGTTTCATATATATATATATATATATATATATATATATATGTGTGTGTGTGTGTGTATTTCGGTAGCAAGAGTTCATACTAACAAGTTTTATTATTTGAAACGACAATTTTGTATATATATATATATATATATATATATATATATATATATATATATATATATATATTCATTCAGTTGTATGGATATGAGTTTGCAACCATGGGTTTGACGCTTTTACGATTATCAGACAAACTGGTTTATTTTGCGATCTATTCTTGTTTGTTTGGTGGTGAGCGTACTGCACATACAAAATACACACACACACACACACACACATATATATATATATATATATATATATGATTAATACAAATATAAAATGTCATTTAGCTGATTGATGCTATATTCAGCACCTCTACTCCAGAGTTTCCTAGACAAACCTTTGTATAATTGTTCAAGCCACTCTTCAATATTTTTTCTTCTTGTTTTCGTTATTTTTATATTAAGTTCAAAAAACATTATGCGTTTTTTTATGGTGTTGTATTGATTTTTCTTCTTTCCGTGTGTGTGTGTGTGTACACGCCTGTGTGTATGTGCACATTTGTAGACTGTCGTGAAGTATATTTAGTTAGCAAGTATTCACCAGGGGCCTGATCATTCTGCTGAGGAAGAACAACGATGACGGGAACAGGGTGGATGCCTTCCGGTCTATAAACTCTCCTTAATACAGACTTGAAGATTATAGCCAGGATCCTGACAAATCGTCTGCAGATTGTTACTGACAAGTTAATTGGCCCCGAACAGACTTGAACAATCTGCATCTGGTGCGCACAATCCTAAACGGGATAGACGACGGCACTGGTGATGAAATGGTCAGCCTAGATCAGTCGAAGACCTTCGATAGATTGGACCATCTATTCCTGACATCCGCATTGGATACTGCCGGTTTCGGCAAAGACTTTCGCACATGGGTTGAACTGATATCGGTCCCCTAGTACTGTGGTACAAGTGAATGGCAAGAGGCTCAAGCCGTTCAATATGCCTTCAATATGGCCTCGTACTGGAACCCTTCTTCCTGAAACTGTAAGGTGAGGGGCTGGAGACTCCGTAATCCGTGGAGTTGATCTGTTGGGTGAGGTAACAGACAAGGCGTCTGCATACGCTGACGACGAAACCACCTGCGTATCCAGCTGCCAGGACATAATCCAGGTAAGCGCGGAAATTCAGCGCTACGAGCGAGTGACATGGATCAGGATCTGGAAACGGAAGGCTCTGCAAGGGACGTTCGACTGGACAGATGGACCCATCAGCATCTTAGGGGTGTGGTTCAACCTTGATCTCCAGTTTGAGAAAAAAATGAGTAGAGGTACAATCTAAAGTGGGAAAGTCGGTGGAGGCATGGTTCCGCAGATGTTTTTACCTGAAGGGCAGAGCAGAAGCCTGTGTCACATACATCTACCCTCTGATTCTGTACAGGTTGTCGGTCCTTCCCATTAGCGCGAAAAGGCTGACCAGATTCCCTCAGCTCCTCTCTCTAGGACGACCAATTGTACGCATGGAGGTCAGCACCCAGCGCTCGTGTCGTGGGGAAATGTGTTTGTCACACCTGCTGAGCCATAAGCGGGAGTTTAGGCTTGCATTCCTGAGCCACACGATGGCCGGAATCCCGGTGTGGGGGCCGTGCACTGCAATTACCTTTTCGGCTCCTTGCACTGTACCGCAGAGGCACGTCGCAGACCCATCGGTGAAAATGCCTTCCTCTGCAAGTATCGAATGGCACTGGCTAAAATCCCCCAGACAACCAACTTGACAAGAGTGAGGAAGATAAGGAAGCTGCTTGTGATCCCCTCTGTCAGCGCTTTGAAATGACGGAAGAGGATCTCCAGTCCCATTGGTACAAGGCTCTAGATACCTATTTCCTCAGAAACTGAGTTTTCCCGGCCCTGGCGCCTGACACGACATGCCGTGTCAGTCAACAACATCAGGTTCAGGATGTGGTTAACCGAACCCTCTGAGTGAGCGATATGTAGTGATCCGGAAGAGACAGCTGAACATGTCTCCTATCTCTTCTCACAAGTCTGCCCTACTTTGGGAATATGTAGGAGATCCCTCGACGTCGCCTATGTATATGATAATGTGGCCCCCTCTTGAGTGCGCCTGAAACGCATGATGTTCCTCACACGGTTGGTCGTAGCCAGAATGGTTGCGTGGAATACCAGGCAGATCGTCGTATGGAGATACGCTGTCTCACTATCACCTGATTGCATACTTCAATCAGCTCAGAATGAAGATAAAATGTGACAAGCACAGACTGACCAAGGAGGATTTCTGTGACAGATGGGTGAAAGTAACCAGTTTGGTACGTGTAAAAGGCGTCAAACTAGAGTGGCTTTTATGAGTTTCTGTGTGCTGTTGTGGGGAGAGCCTCCGCTCTTTGTACTCTCCCTCAGAATTTCGAACAACCTGGTAAATTGAAACATGTCGTGTGACTCGTCCCCTCCTACCGCCGCTTTTCACACCCTGACCACCCCTTGCATGGTAGGATTTATAGTACAAATGATGATCTGCAGTGAGTAGAGAGTGGCAGTTGAAGGATGAAAGGGATGGACGGAAGTAATATTGTTTGTGTGCATGGGATGAATGAGAGACTAGTTTCATTTTTTTTAGGACTAGACTTTGCATAACAAGCCCTTTCCCTAGCCCCCCCCCCCGCGCTTTTCCCTGGTCCTGTGCCGAATTAATTTACTTATATGTCAATAAATATTATGTCCGTAAACAGTTTGATTATAGAAATGATCTCGCGTTAAGCGATTGATCTCTATGTTCACACTGTTAATAACTACAAACGCTCTATCCCCGATATTGAACACATTTTATTTCCCAAGCAAACTATATATATATATATATATATATATGATTAATACAAATAATATAACATTCGTCACTTAGCTGATTGATGTTAAATTCAGCTACTCAACTCCGGAGTTTCGTTGACGAACTCTTTTGTAATTGTTCACTCGTCCACTCATCAGGAGTTGTTTTATATATATATATATATATATATATATATATATATATATATATATATATATATATATATATATATATATATATATATATATATATATATATATATATATATATATATATATATATATATATATATATATATATATATATATATACATACACGCACATATGCATATATATACACACACCTAATACATATATATATACACACATACACACAGATATATATATATATAAATATATTTATATATACGCACATATAGACACACACACACATAAATATATATATATATATATATATATATATATATATATATATATAAAATATATATATATATATATATATATATATATATATATATATATATATATATATATATATACAGATAGATAGATAGATAGATGGGTGGTCGATTTTGCTAAGTTCAATACTCGAATATTTACTTCACCCTGACAACCGTATTGGCCCTCAAGCCTTAGTAAATAATACGCATGAGTCACATGAAATATGCTGAATAAAGAAAGAGAATAAACAAATCGGAAAACAAGCCATAATAATAAATGATGAATCAAAAAGTAAATGTTCTGTATATGTTGCAGGGAAAACTTTTTTGTTTCTTTCTATCACGAGGTCAACGAACTGTCCGTCCCATCACGCGTCGAGCACCGATAATGAATCGCCTTTGTTTGTGGCTGGCTTCTTGATACACATTAATAATCTCTACCAAACGCGCACAACTCACAGAGTGACGCGATTGTAAATGTCATGAACAGAAATTAAAAGTATTGACTGTCATTTACACAGCATCACTGAACCCGTAGATAAAGGACCAATATTATTGGACCACAAATAGTTACAATAGAGAGCAACCTCTAATCTATTAGCTACTCCTTATTAGGTTGTTCCGAGAATAATGACGAGTTTCATATTATATTTTAGTTATGTTGCAATATAAAATATAGTCAATATTTTTTCGTTGTCGTGTATATTTGGCAATGTTAACTATATTCTATAAATGTAAGGTGTTCTTTTTCATCCTTAGATAATTATTTTCGTGTTTAACGACCCCTAACTCAAGATTTAAATTTAAGAGTTAGACACTATTTTCTTGCATGAATTTAACCTTGATCACAATGCCTCTCAGATTGCTCAATTAATTATTGGGTGAAGATCCCAACCCAGAACGTATGTAGTGATTTTCCAAGCGTAGCTTGGATGTGGCACAAAAGGCCGAAAAAGAAAGAAAGAACTCACTACTCATTCGTAATTGTTCTAGCGAGACAAGCTTGCTAACCATTACACCACCTCGAGGTGCCCTACCCAGAACGTATATAACGTTGTTGGTTTCTTAAGTTCCAAAATTCCGAAGAAGTAACATGACGTGTCCTAGACGTAAAGCTCTAAACTGGTATAATTAACGAGTAGAGTTCATCTAAACATTTGTCATGGAAATAAGTTTGCAACGTTGTGTCTGTGTGAAAGAAGCTGTAGGGTGGAAAATATGTCATCCCCTACATGACTTATTGGGGGAAATAGTAGTTTCCCATTGCCTTCTCTACGTTTTTGCATACAGTGTTGCCATTCTCCTAGACTGGGGTGCTACTCAAGGCTAGAGAAACCAGCCTGCTCTGCTATTTAGTTCATAGTATGCGGGGGAGGGAAGAAGAGATGGTTTTATGAATTTCCCAATGGCATTTGCGCAAAAGTGAACGCAACAGATTAGAACGAAACTCGACTCGTCAATTCCACTTAATGGAAAGCTCATCTGAACATTCGCAATGGAAATAATAATAGAGTAGCGATAGACTTTCAACTTTGCGTATGTGGAGAAAGCGGCTGTAGAGTGGAAAATTAGTCATCCTCTAATCAATTTTAAACTCTATCAACTCTATCAAGCCTGCAAAAATTGAACATTTGGCAGCTCCAATCCAGACATGTCAGCAACACTCGATATTTAGTCTAATCCGGGTCTTGTAGAGAGAAAGCATGACAGAAAGATTCGGGTAATTTTTAGAGTCAATCATTTTTCCAACATTTTTAGCGAAGGATCATATATATGAGTTTCGTTTGAGGTGTGGAATGGATTTGAATATGAATACTTTTTTTGCTAATGTTCACTCAATACAAGGCCCAAGAGCCATTCAAGATAGCGTGTTACTGAATGAGGTGTGTGATATGACTCTAGGCTTGAAGAGGTTAAGATTGTAGCATTTGGGGAAGCATCTACACTGAAGTATGCTCCACAAAGAAGCAGTTCTCGGAAAGAAGTTTTCTCATTGGAGCATCACTCTTATCAATGGAATACGCAGGATATGATGGTGATTCAACGCTGTGGACGTAGCATGACGGGTCTTGGCTCTAAAATGCTGAGCTCATGACACTAAAGAATGGAGTTGTACAGTTGCCATAGAAATAGCGATAGTCTTGCGATGCTGCGCCTGTGGGAAAGAGATTACAGAGTAGAAGATAAATCATCACCCACAAGACCACGTAAGTGATTTTGAATTCTATGAAGCCTGGAAAGTGAAGACTAAGTGGCTCCAGCCGAAATATAGCAAAAATATTTCATTTTATTATCAAATCTTATTCTTGTAAAGATAAATCAGGAGTAAGGTACCTCCTAGCGCCATAAAATAAATGGATTTTCCCCAGCATATTTTGCAATTGGTCATATATATGAGTTCCACTTAAGGTCATGAGTGAACTCAGTGGACGTTCAAAGCATGAAGCCTTATTGGGAATGTAACGGTTAATCGTTACTGGAGAAAATTCAGGACTTGAGCAGTGAATTTTATTATATTGCCTTTGCTATAATTAGGTTAAAGCAAGACAATACTTAAAGTAATATCAGAAAAAAAGTATTGTTAGGTATTTGTCAAAATAGAGTATTGTTTTTCATTAAAAAGTAACTCATTGCCGTTTTAAAGAGCTGACAATTGACCTGTAAAGCAGAACGTGAATGGGGTGTTGCCAGGACAGTAGTTTTCTTCAGAAAGAAAATGAGAGAAACGTTACGTATTGGTAATGAAACTGGTGCACTCTTTTCGTCAGGAACTGGTGATGATGGCAACAGCATGTATAAGTTGGTGTTGAATTTTCAAGTGTCGATTTTTATATCCAACAATTTCCAGCTTTTAGCACGTACGCAACTATTCTATCTCGTTTAGTGCAAAAGGCTAAGTTCGATAACCCGGGAATTTGAAAATATATCCTGGTTATGAGTGGGAACGGATTATAGGTGCCCGGATTTAATATGGACATCTTGTACTTCATCTTCTCATAAAATACACAAAGAGCGAAGCTTTTATGTTAAGATCGATCGACCACTCATCGATCACTAAAATCGATTTTACACTACATTGTTAAACCTGCTTTACACATTTTTCAGACGAGTATCTTTATCTGTGTTGTGTTATCACAAAGTTTTAAGGAACTGGTCTTAATTACACCCCCTTGAAAACTAGGGTTTAAAATTCGGGATTTTACAAGAATCACAATCAGTGGTGTGTGCATGATGGGCGTGAATACATAATTATCTCAATCCCAGTGCCAGCGTAACTGTATAATGCAATACATGATATATGTCTAATGAAAACTATTATACCTTGAGTAGTTACATTGTTCTTTAATTTCTTCTTCTTTTATGTGCTGTTTCCGTCTTGGGTCATTAATATCTCTAAGGTATAGATCCCCTTTTTCCTATAGTCTCCCCAATCGGTCGTGATGATTGACAATGAGGAGATTGAGCCAGAGAGCATTTTGACAAACCTATTTCTCATAGCTGTCTTATCTACCGAAGCAAATAAATAAGCTGTTACTCCTACTGTCAACCTTGATAGGGACCAGTATAGCTGGTTATGCTATTTCTCTCCCCTGTCAACATTTACACTAAGAGCGTGTTGGGGAGTCATCCACGCCAGCAGCAACATCCATTGTATTTAAACGAGTTAGGTCGGAGACGTCCCTATAGAGAAATACCGAAGGAAGTGGACAGTTTTTATAGGGTTTAACCTTTTGTCTCTGCATTCGTGCCAAAGCGTGTAAATGACTTTCTGGCTGAGATCAGAGTGTAGAAGCTGCCCATCTCCTTCTATCGTATTCTTGTACTCAGTTATGTGCTATGCGTGATACACGCTTAGACGATCATGTATCTTTCGACACATGACTGACGAGGCAATTTTTTTTCCCGCAGTAGGTTGCCATTTATTTAGAGACCAGTTGCCATCCAAAGCTATAGAGGAGATGAAGAGGATTCATATATTTCCCACGAGTATTAGCACGCAAGTGAATGTAATGGATTCGGATGTGTGAATGGTTATTGAAGTTCGAACTCGGCTCTCCGATTCCTCAATCCGAGCCGCTAACCATTACTCCACCGTGCCTCTTTTATTACAGTACGAGACTCTACGCTGTGTTTTGTCTTCGAATAGTTCACAACCTAGCAATGCGCAGAACTTGATACCATGGATTCAAACCCTGCTGCACCTCCCCCATTATTGAACCAAAGTAGGAGATCTGAGTACTCTGACATCTAAGTGACATTGGTCGTAGAAACTAGAAAAATCTTGTCCTTGACCCATATGAGCATCCCACGTGAAACTGGCGTTGTGTCACATCCTACGAGATCAGGGAAAGAGTTGGGTAAATACAAGAAAAAAGCTCTGAAATAAGGTGCATTTCTCTTAGTGATCAGTCTAATCTCTGGCTTAATTTTAGCTTTCTTTCCATGAGAGTATCGTGAGTAATAGTGGACTTTGCTAATGTGTTTATAGCGTTGAAAAATACATTGAAAGAACCTTCCGCTCATTTGCCCGCATACATTTTTTATCTGTATAATTATGGTGAGCCAAATCTCTGTCGAAGAAGAATTAATTATAGGAATATTTCATATTCGTACCTTTTTTTTTTTTAAATACTCTAGAACGAAGTCGTTCCAATGGATCTATCCATTAATACTATAGTTAACATTTATAATTTCTTAAACAGGCCAATAAACTGATTTTGAATTTGAACTCTAACAAGAGATATTTTAGAAATGTTCTATCAACTGAGCCATTTCCTCTAGTCAAAGTCAGGGACTTCTTGCATTGATTGAAAAGAAAGCTTAACATATCGATCTGTCTCTTCTACCCGTCTATCCACCCGGATGTGTGAATGGTTATTGAAGCCCTGGCTTGCTCTTCTTCACTAGTTTTCAGCACACTTAAAATAGAATTGAGGAAACGAAAAGAGGAAAAATGGAAGCGATGGGAAATAGAAAGAGAATAAAAAGAGAGACGAAAAGGAAAAATGATCATAGGATTGGGGAGTGAGGAGAAGATATGGGAACGGGAGAGAGAGAGAGAGAGAGAGAGAGAGAGAGAGGAAGATATAAAAGGCATAAAAAGAGAGAGAGATGGCAGGTTTATTTTGTAAAATCGATGAAGCTGAAATTGTTGTCAGTATTTTGTTTGTTTACTCTGCCTGCTATTTGATAGGCTTTAATAGCGAACAAACGGCGTTCACCAGTTTTTCCCTGCCGGGCTGAAAACGAAAAAGAAAAGTGCCGCTCAGAACTAAATTTGGTTTTTGTATTGCTTATAAATTGATTCGGGGAAAATGCTGAGGTTTATTTAATGAACAACAAGAGAACCGGCAGAGATTGAAGAATGAAAAGAACAGAAACGAAAACCGAAGGTAAAAGAAACAGAGAGGTGACAAGGTGGAATAAAGAAGAGAAAAAAAGAGAGATAAAAAGCAAGAAGGTAGAAAATTAGACAAAAAGACGGAAAAGAAGATAGCGAAAGTAATACTATAGAAACGTGAAAAGTGATAAAGAAGGTAAAGACGAAAAGAACAAGGAACAATACGAGAGAAAGAGATAGAGAGAGAAGTCTTGAAAACTTCCAGAGAGAAGAAAACAAGGGTTTGCCGCAGAGATAATATAATTATATAAACTTATATATAAACTTCGAATACTGATTTTCTCGGCAGGCATGCAAGGCATACTCACTTGGAATACTGTTTTATGTCGATATTCCTCGACCCATATATCAGCTTTGACTTTGTTCCACACAAAGCTATATTTTTTAAATAACGAGAAAACAGAATGACTTAAAGAGTCTTACATTTTTCCAACGATGTCAAAAATGAGTGTTTGAGTACAGGTAGGAACAAGGATTTCGAAACTGGGTTTATTCTCAACCAGGCCCTCCCAACTTTGGAGAATTAGCATAACCCAATCTTTCTTCTTCAGTTCAGGAAATGCAAATAGGAGACGAAGTGAACGCAGAGAAAAAGAGATGATATAGAAAATGTTAAAATGAGAAAAAAAAAAAGACTCGTATGGGGATAATGAGAGAGCCGATATTTCTGTTATTCGAATCATTCTGAAGCAATCTTCTAGCAACGCATATTTTTCGTTGGGCATTTCAATTTTTTTTTTGGTGGAAAAGAATCACTTACGTAGCGTATATGGATAATGAACAGAGCACTTTTTTTTCTGAGGGAACAATTTTCATTGTGGTTTCACACCGTTCAAGCGGAATGTATCATTTATCTCTTGTTTCTTTTTCATTAGAAACCGATAATTTGTATCTCTTTGCATTGGCAATTTTCAGAAGTAAAACAAAACCATTCGCAGATACTACCAACGCCTCTTTCACGATGAATAATATTAAACAGGAACTTTGGGGCGTTGTTTGAAATTCTGAGATAAAACCTTGGAACTCTATGAAGAATTTTAAAAAAAGGCTATCTACTCAAAGAGTAAATATTTAAAAAAAGACAGAAAAAAACTGGAGATTTTTCTATTTTTGGTAACGGGTATCGCATAGCCTGTGGGTAAATCAAAGCACCACCTCTCAATTTAGCACAAATTTTGGGCCGATGTTTTCATCGTCCTTCTTCAGGTGTATGCTGCATTCGAGAACCTTTGAGTGACGTCATCATCAAGGTACTGGCCTATTTGGACCAAATTTTAGAAATTAAAATAAATCATGTAATTTCGCAATAAACAACCACCACCACTACCACCACCACCACCACTACTTATTTGAACTATCAAGCTGCTTAACTGGGCCAGCGTGAATAAAGCAAAGTAACCTCATAGTTCTTTTCATTGCTGATTCATTCATTGCTTAATCAACCTCAGCTAGACAGTATCTGCTGGGAGTAACCTCTTAAAGTATAGTGACAACTATCTGTGTCGGTTAGTGTATGCAAAATTCCAAGGCCTTGAAAATGCTGCATCAGGTAAAGACTTTTCACTTACGGAGAAAATTATTCTGATACAAACAAAAAGAGACCTCAATAGATATATCAACATTGGAGCGCTGAAATCTACATTTAATGTCCATTTGTTTAATTACTCTAACGTTACTGAGCATTAGCGATTACAGTAAATCAGTGTATTATTAATCCTATAATATTAAAAAATCTATACGTTTTTTAATAAACATTTTGTCAAGTTTATATATATATATATATATATATATATATATATATATATATATATATATATATAATAAAAAAATATATAGGAAAAAGAAGTTGAAAATGCAACTGAAGTCTTTAGAGTAACTTTACCGGTTTAACATTTCTAGAATTTTCAAAAGTTAAATTGAAATGGAGAGACGTGTGGCTATGCGAGACATATCACGGCATAGCTAAGCGTCTTTCTTAAAGACTCCAGTTGTATTTTCAACTTCTCTCTCTCTCTCTCTCTCTCTTATATATATATATATATATATATATATATATATATATATATATATATATATATATATATGGGATCGAGTGGCAGGATGTTAGCAGCAGGTCTTTTAACTGTAGCGAACAAGTTACGTGGTGGAGGTTCTGTAGATCGAAATTGTTTGTACGCTGTAACCTATAAGTACTCAATGGGATGGAAATCAAAGCAGTCTGATCGATAGGCACTACAGTAAAGCCTTCATATTACTGAAACCTTTCCCTTTATAACTTGTGCACTATAACAGGGTGCAATGTCTCGCGGAAAGCTGTTACTGCCATCAATAGAAGACTTTTGCAATGAAGAGGTATACCTGCTTATTATCAAACCCAGGAGAGCAGTGTAGCGTAGGAAGCTTTATTATTTATTGTTGACTTAATACACCAGATGTGGTACAAGGCCTAAAATTGTGGAAGGGGAGGTTAGTCTTCATCTGTCCTACAATTTACTGACCCAATCATTCGTTAATGTTCCTTTCACCAAAACGACACATTATTGCTTACCATTCTTACTGCAGTGACCAAAATACGACAATTGCTCTATGAAGTCCTAACCACCCCCACACCATATGTACAATATATATTTGTGGGAGTGGGAATTAAAACAAATATTTTAAAAATATCTAAAGCCAGTCTGAAAATATGAAAGCTTATTTGAAAAAAAATAAGCAAAACACTATCAATCAGTAAAAAATCTCACGATTATAAATTGCGGCAGAAATATTAATTCAAACTCAAATAATGCGGAAGTGCATATACAGTGAATATATATATATATATATATATATATATTATATATATATATATATATATATATATATAATAACTGTACTCACCCCTAACCACGCACTCAAGCAGACGCAATAATGACTACGAAACACTCGGAATGCGAAAAGCGCTCCGCATCCACTACAGTAATGTTTTCAACTATTTTTTTTTATCTCATCGCACACTTAAAGTTATCGTTAAACTTCCGTGACACCCTTAAATTATGATGATCAAAAACAGGTAAAAAAAAATATAACTAAATAAGAGTGAAATTTTTATGGTTTATTTATTAACAGAAATAAAAGAATTGATTATAATTTGTAATGCAAGATAATTAAAATTCTTAAGAAAAACTAATATTTATTTTTCTGTTTATTATAATAAAAATATGTTCAGTACGAGCTCCACGTCCTCACTATTTCAATATGTGCACAATGAAAGATTACTGAGTCATTCCCGTAGTCAACTTCGGATCATTTCGACATATATCGGTGCTTGTCAAACGCGCCATCTATGGATTTGGCGTCGATTTTATTTCGCACACCCCACACACTTTATATATTATGTATAAATTTATTTATTATAACAATGATATTCTCGTATAATCAATTTAAGCCGGGGGTGGGTGGGATCGTTTATCTTTATATATACATTTATTGTGGTTTGGAAAGGAATTTATTAATGACTTTTTAAATTTTTCGCGGCCCACCTACAATCCTGTTGCTGTTCACCGGTTAAAAAATCACTGTACTAGAGAAATGATATCTCTGTCACTTAAATGAGGGAAGGAAAGAGAGGGGGTAAACTAAAGAAAAAAAAAGGAACAAAAATAAAAGGGACCGATAAGTATACATACACTAGCTGATCTATATAAACAAACTAAAAGATAAAAACTTCCTTGAATACCTAATTTAGGAATCGCTCCCCATTGTTTAACCTAGAAAAATCAATATTCTGGATTCGTAACTGGCATTCAAATGCCACTCTAAGTCAGCACCAATTACTCTACATGGACGCGAAACTCATATCCGTCTCTGGTCAAATTCCGATGAGGGAGGGTTGCTTTATTCCTATCCTTGTCTTAAGTTTAAGTTGATGCTAAAAGAAAAAGATCAGTTAGGGAAGAGGTAAAATTCTCACCATCATGGAATTCTTTCTGTCAGGCCGTCCACACCACGACTCACTGAATACCAGGCATGCAGAAGAAAACATAGTACTGAGATTGACTAAGTCGGCATAGAAAGCAGAGTTTGTGAGAATGTAACAAGGGCCAAGATGAATCGCGCTGTTGGCTTCGGTTGGGTACAAGGAAGGGAGTTTTTCTTCCTGACTTTTTTTTTCCTCTGGACAGACTCAGTCTTTGTCACATACCACATTGCTACAAGGGTTGCGTCAAGGACGAAACACTTTCCGTGCAACATACGGACCATGAAGCTTTTAATGATCTGCACAACGGACGCACGACGCTGCAGAGGAAGAAGTCATGTTCAATAGTTTCCACCCACCCACCACAGCGAATGTATTCCGTCGAAACAGCCAGTCTCACGGCACAGTTTCTGGCTGATTCCACTATCCAGATTAGTCATGATTCAACTGGTCTATGAGACATTTCTGATGGGTGGAGATAATTACGTTACTTATAAACCTTGACTCCCCACAACCAGTTCATTTCCAGCTAGGAATCAGGACCGAACTAGACACCGATAATCTGACACAACAGAGGAAAAAAACTCAGACAGAAAAACTCCCTTCCTTGTACCCAACCGAAGCCAACAGCGCGATTCATCTTGGCCCTTGTTACCATCTCACAAACTCTGTTTTCTATTCCGACTTGGTCAATCTCAGTACTGCTCGTTACAAGCATGTTAGCAACGTTAGCATAGGCAGAGTACCTGACCGAGGTGGTACCACCGGGTACCGTGATTACATTAGGGCCGGATTAGCCCTTAACTTGCAAAGGAATGGCTCCAAATACGAGAGTGGACAACCTTAACTAATGAACCCAGACAATAAGAAAGGCTCCGATCTTACTCCATTCACATCACCCAGCGCACCGGGATTTGCATACAAATGTTGAATCCAGACTTGAAAAGAGGACCCGAAACCGGTTGCGGCAAGTACAGCCTCTAGAAATCGATTATCGACCCTCATGAAAACCATGGACCGATTCAAATTGATATTCAATTATAGGATCTGTGTTCAAGTTTGAAACAGAGTAATTGATTGATTGATTGACTTTTTACGGCTCCTCAACCTTTTGCACGTTATTTAAAGCCAGAAAATATTTTTAGATGGTAAGGGGATGTTTTGGAGACAATAATGTTTTACTGATATAAGTTCTACTAATGAATCCATACCTGGGTGATTGGAGGTAGATTCCTACCTTTCCCAAGGGAATTTGCGCGTAATTGACTGTAACGAATCCGACTGAAATTACACCAACCGCACATCTAAGCTTAGAGCACCTGGTTTTCCCAAGCGGTCACCCATCTAGGTACTGACCAGGCTCTACGTTGCTTAAATTCGGTGATTGTATGAGAACCGGTGTTTCAACATGATATGGCCGTAAGACGGCAAAGATTTTTTAAAAAAGAATCATCTTATTGAAAAACTAAAATCGAAATGCATTTTTCATGTGAGAATTTTTCCAGGTCTAATATGCTGAATGTTTGTTTTTCTAACAAATTTCTGGGGCACATACTGAGGAAGGACGGATTGGAAAATCTGATACTCATAGGACAGATTGAGGAAGAGAGAGACAGAGGAAAAGCAACGCATAACATACTTGACGAGCTTGAGAAAAATGGATGGCGGATTAGGGTTTAGAAATAACGAAAAAAAGAGAATTTATTTAGAGCTGAAAAGAAGAGGAAATTGTGGAGAACCATGATCGCCTACGTCCTGAGGGGACACGGCACATAAAAAGAGGGAAAGAAAGAGAGAGAGACATGACTACAGAAAAAAATCAATAATTTAATATTAAAAATCAGTTTAAAAATTTATTTCTGTTTCCCTTAGTATTGAAACTTGAATTAAACGTAAACGAAGATCATTATTCTTTCTTTCTTGATATGTAAATAAGCACCGCGAGAAAACCCATTAAAATTTAGCTTCATGTCCTATTTAAAAGGTTCAGCACGAAATTACGTCAGTTTTCGTTAAATTGAATCTAAAAATCATTTCTTATCCATTCATTCGTTTTCAGAAGAAAGTAAGTAAACACGATTTAATGAACAAATAAAATATTGATTTTGATGATGGCATAAATAAATATCGAAATATTTGCAAAATCATCCACGATTTCTATGTTACTCAGAATTACTTGCAAATGCAGTTTTGTTGTTTTTATCTTTTAAAATTGCCTGATGCGCAAAGATATTACGATAATTTTCTAATAATGATATAAATAAACATTGAAATACGTTTTTAAAAACCACATTTTTCTTGATAAGCAAAATTCTATTCCTTCATTGCATGTGCTTTTTAATTTACTCGTTTTTCTTCTGTGACATTTTAAAATTGGCCGAGGTACAAAGTTAGAAGTTATTAAAAGTAGTGAATACCCGCCCCCGCGGACAAAAGTTTGTAACTGCTAGAAAATTGATTCGGGAAGCACTGTTCAATTTAATTTCTGTTTCAACCTGTATTTCCTAGTGTTACAAATTCTCAATCAACCTCAATGAAGTAACTGAATGTAATTCTAAAATATATTAATAAAATAACGTTAAAAAATGAATTAAGTAAAATAAAATAAAAATGCAAGTAAACCCGAAAAATGTACTTAATAATAGTAAACAATACTTATTTAATGATCGGGGCTTATTAAAGGTCACAAAGGTCAGGAGACTGTGAAAATCCGACTCACTGTATGAAACGAACTGGTTTATGAAATTGCTAACCATTATGGGCGTGTTGTCGAGTGGTTTGAACGGTATCGTTCGGAATTTCGTCGATTTGTCAAAAAGGCGACTTCTTGATAATATCGGCCTGTGGCACCATTGGAAAGTACCGGAAAACCATACCAAGAGTTGCTTTCTGAGTAAAACCGGATAAATGAAACTGTTAGGAAAACATCGATGGTTGTGACACCATGAAGTCACAAGTCATCGTGATCGAGGGCTTGCGTGTACTAGCCTTGATCATGCCAGATTTTGCGCGCCTACAGAAACTGTAACAACGGTCCGCTCAGCAAAGTTGCAGTATAGACTACAGGTTGAAGATGTGCTTAAGCAAGTATCTACAACAGGGATTAGCTAGTTATCCTAGTAAGCTTCATAGTCTCACGAGAGATTTACTGCTAACCATTGCATAGCTGTATGAATCCAAGTGAGGAACACCTAGAGGTGATCGAATTCGCTATATAGATTCAGTCTTTCTTATCAAATCGTGAAATAAAAGTTATCCTGAACGGTCACTCTTCAAGATCCTTTTGTACTAATGCCGTTGTCTCCCAGGGCTCTACCCTTGGTCTTCCTTTGTTTTTACTTTTCATTAACGACCTCCCCTATGGCATCAGTTCTCCACTTGGTATCTATGTTGATGACACAACCATTTACTCCTGTCTCGATAGTAAGTCTGGTCAGTTCGATAAAGTCAAATGGGCGGCTGAAGTCTTAAACGACCTTCAGTCTGTTGTTAACTACGGCAAATAATGGCTTGTTAATTTTAACACCTCCAAAACGAAACTGCTCTCTATTAATTATTGGAGAGACCTTTCCCTGTCTTTCATCAGCATGGCTGATGCTAACCCCCAGGAGAGTGAGTCATTGCGCCTTCTCAGGCTAACATTCTCGACTAACATGAAGTGGAAAGACTATATTGATTCCATTGCTAGGTCAGCTGCTAAAAAAGTTGGTTCACTGTGTTGTGCTAGACAATTTTTCTCTCCAGAATCTATCTTACATATCTATAAGTCTACCATTTGTCCGTGCTTAGAATATTGCTGCCATATATGGTCCGGTGCTCCTGCTATATATTTAGAGATTCTTGATAAAATCCAAAGTAGAATCAGCAATATTACTGATCCTGGCGTCTCAGCTTCAGTCACTTTCTCACCGCCATAAAGTTACCTCTCTGTGACTTTTCCATAAATACTTTCATGGTAATTGTTCCGATGAGCTCTTCGCTATGGTACCTAGACTTTATGAATTTAAGCGCAGTACTAGACAGACAACGAGGTCTAATCAATTTACGGTTGAATTGGCTTGATGTAACCGTAAGTTCTATGCCAATAGTTTCTTTTGTTTCACTTCTCGTTTATGGAGCTCTCTTCCGGCTCCATGCTTCCTAGCCAATGTAAATGCAATGTCAATCGCTATCTATTCTCCTCCTGATTATGTTTCTTTTGTTCTCTCTCCTTAGTAATGCTTCTGTTTTCTAATTCTTTCACACCCCTTATGTCTTAGTGGCTTTACTGCCTTGCTTGCAGTGAATTCGATTAAAAAAAAGAGTAATATTGGACGACTAAAATAGCTCGTTAACCATTACCACAATTGTAAGCCCCTCTTCAGAGTATGTTTGATAATGACCTGGATAGATGTGAATAAAGGTTGAAATATCAACAGAATGAACCACATTTTCTTATTTGGGATCGTCGGTCAAATGTTGATTTTCTCCAAATATAGATTAAATAAGACAATGTCACCGCGTGCGAAATATGACCAGGAGACAAAAATATGTTTTTTAAGTCACTGAGTGCAAGAAACTGTTTTAAGAAATCTTTAGGTGAAAAATGTTATTTATTAAATTATAAATAAAAAAATAAATTAAATAATAATTAAAAATAAAATAAATTAAATAAATCGAATACAAGGCATTCGGCTTCGATTACACGATTTTTTTTTTTGATAGGCAATTTGTTTTAAACAACTGTATTCAAATTTGACTAAATTTTAAGCAATTCTACTGTTGACGACAAAATGGCTTAAACAACTAAACAAAAAAGTATAATTAACCAACAAAAGTTATATTACACTGTTCTTCGTTGAGTGAAGATTCAGCTTGATATCGGCAAATTTTAAGTTGCATACAATTAATCACGTATAAGAATAACAAAGGAAAAATAACTCATGCAAAGGAGGTTAATGTTTGAGTATCTGTTTTTCTTTTTCATTTTGGGTTTTATTGACGCTTTCTTGATCTGTAAAAAAAAAAAAACCTAAATTTTTTTTAAAAATTAAAAAAAATTTAAATTTTTTTAATCTAATGCGCGAAAACGCAAAAAAAATGACAGGCCAGATCGTTGATTAATTTATGCATTCAAAACATTTCATTTTTTTTTCTAATAAATAATTTTGTTCTTCACCTAGCAATATCATAAAAAGACTTCCTGATACACAACAATGTATCTATATTTATAAATTTTAAATTTCCTGTCTGTAGTTCCGACACGGAGACATCGTCATTTAAAAAAAAAAAATCAAAACTTGTAAGAAAGCAAAATAAAAACATGTAAGCACCCTTACCTTGCATGAATGCTGTGAATTTACAAAGAAACTCTCCGTATATCCAGAGTCGGTAAACAAGGGTCCCCACTGCCATCGGCATACAAATAAGGGCGACCGATAAATCGGCCACGGACAAGTTGAAGAGAAACACGTTTTTGGCCTTTCTCCATGTGACATCGTTAAGAACGGAAACCATGATAAGTACGTTCCCCACTAGTGCCGTGATGAAGATTGGCACATAGAGAGTGACCAGGACTACATCCTGAAAGTTATTGAAAGAATAAAAAGTTCCAGTAAACTCTTCGAGGATGTCCTGCGCTCCAGTAAAGTTGTAAGGCGTTGACTGGATCAGCATAGAGAAGTTATTTCTCTGCAGGAACTGCTTGTACGCGATGAATTCTGGGAATTGGTCCATTGTGCTCATCGATTAGATACCCGTCAAGTGATGCTGTTGTGCGGTGGATTGAATTGTGTCACTGAAGGTGTAAAATAAAATTAAAATTACAAATGGAACATTCAGTAAAGGTAATAGATATAGTTAGTTTAATAACCCTGTGGCAGTACCTCCGACATTGAACCAAAAAAGAGAAGGTCAATGGTATATCGGCACCAGCGCGGCGTTGGTTGTAGGGACAAGGCAATTTTTGGCCTTAGCGCCTGTGAACGCAACTCGGCTCCCCACTTTAAGCCGGGCTTGTGCCGCATCGCGCCGCCATAGGAGGGTGGGTAAATAACTAGTTAGTCCGGGTGTACTGACACACAGGTGAGTTATAAGTAAAACAAGGTCATAATTTCATGTTACAACTGCTAAAACATGCATCATTTCGCTTTTTTCAAATATTTTATATTCAATTATAATTGTGCTTGTCTCTCCTTTTGCTAATTCGCACGACCGTTACACCCAATACCTCATAAATAATGGACTTTCGTTTTGAATTCGTGGAAAGAAGGAAAAGGCCCTACTTGGTTTCAGTGAGAAAATGAAAGAAAGAAGATAAATGGAGACATAGAATTGGATTAAGCTGTTAAGAACAGATACTACACTTTGATCTTAGTAAAAAACAGCGATTGTATTTTCGCACTGCCCCTCACTGGCAGAATGTGACACAAGGTCAGTTTAATGTGAGGAAGCTAAGCAGCGTGTGCAACCGGGTCAGGTTAAAAAAAAATAATAGCCCAGCCTCAGCAACCATCACTGCATTGCATCGGTGATATTATCTATCTCCACAATTTAGTGTAATGAGGGAATTACTGTCGTGAGACAACTCTCAATATTTTCAGTTGCGCTCTGTCCGCAGACAGAAGACACAACTGAAAGATGAAATGTAGTTTATCCGTCCGATGGCAGATACTACACTTTGATTCTAGCCAAAAGAAAACTAATCCACTATCTTTCCCAAGAATTCGTGATAATTCACGGATAATAAAGAAAAGGAATCTGTAGATTACCATCATTGTCTACGTCCTGAAGGGATATGGCATTAAACAAAAAACAAACTTTCACACAAATCTCCTGAATTTTTGCTAAGGGAAAAGATTATTTCGCTTTAAATGCAGCCGGTTTATAGAGAAATAATCGTAAGATGAACTTGATGGTTTCTTCATTCAGAAACGCCGTAGTTAATCAAATACAACACACAGATTTAGAATAACTTAGCAAAATACCAATTCCCAAGATAAATTAACCAACAATAGTCGCCCTCTCGTGGCGAGATAGAAAATAAGCTAGACTCGAAAATCAATTTGTCTGTATCGTGAGCTCGTTTCTCACAGGTACTGAAGCACTGTGCTAGCTAAGTTAAGCTTAGGAAATTATTTTGGTGACATTGTGGCTGACTAAGCTACGTTTATGTAGATAACTGCATTAACCCTCATTTATATTGTTTAAAAAGTTATTATTTTGATTAAAATAACATGCTAATACGTCACAAGGTCTTTGGATTATGTAAAAAACGCAATAGCTAACAGAGATACAAACACTGAAATCAGTAATTGCAACGTTAATTTACCAAAGAAAAAACTCTGTAGCCGTCTGGCCTATCAATACTGTGAATATAAGATTCTAGGCGAGGTGTCTTGTCATAGTCTGCTGGATAGCAAGCTAATCTCGCAGGCCATTAATAATTGTAGTGAGTTGGAATCTCACTGAGTGTTCCATAAATATGAACTTGTGCTGTAATAAGCTCAGTTTCGTAAATACCTGAAGGATTCTAGGCAGGTAAGGTAATTGCAGACAAACAGACACCACATGTACGCACTCACCTACTCTTTTCTCTGTCTGCCAGTGGGGCGTGCCAGAATTGAAAAAAAAATACTGTCGAAATGACTGGCGTTGGGAGAGGGGGAGAGTAGGGAGAGTTGGATTCATAACCCCTTTTTTTTTTTTCCTGTGCTGAAACTTTTTTTTTTTGTCAATTTGTATCTATGGTCCGTATTTGTCCCAGGACTTCAAATGATAGATATTACTTGTGCTAAATCTGTTCAGTTGAAAGAAAAGATACTATAATAATCCAGAATATTATTATGAAAAAAGAGCCTGCATAAAGATAGAAAATGAATTAAGCAACTATTTACACTATTTACATCGTTCGGACTGCTGTCCGTTTCTTTATTGCCATATTCGCGACGTTTCGACTATTGTACGCTCTGGCCTTCTTCAGGTGATATGCGTTGGAATTTTGAACCGAACCCTTTATTTAGTCCACCAAATAAAGTTTGTAGTTCACGTGGACTAAATAAAGTGTTCGGTTCGAAATTCCAATGTATATCACCTGAAGAAGGTCGGGGCGTAAAACGGCCGAAACGTCATGAATATAGCGATAAAGATAACGACAACATTCCGAACGATGTAAATAGTGTAAATAGTTACAATACCTCATATCAGAAATATAGAGAGATGATGAATTAAACAAGTACACAAAAGGGAAAGGGACGTTAGTCTTAGATGCGTTTGGACAAGATAGTAAAGAAAAACGAGAATAAAGGACTAATCATTAATTGTAAGAAGACCGAATGTAGGGTCGTTAGGAAGATGGACAGCGCGAAATGCGAAATACGAGCTGGAAACGTTAGAATCACATAAATTTAAGTGTTAACAGACAACAAAAAATATGAAATGGAAATCTGAAGGCGAATTAGAATATTGAATGTACCTTCGAAAAACTAAACAGAATATTAAAAAAGCAGGAAAATCTCGCTTAGAAACAAAGAAACAGAGAGCTGAAGTGTTATATAACGTCACTCCTCCTTTATGGCAGTGTATGCGGAACAGTTTCTTCGCAGATGAAGAGGTAACAGAAATTTGTTTTACAGAAGGATGCTGAAAATACCATGGACAAAACATGTGAGCAATGAGGTAGCTTTAAGGAAAATGTAAACAAAATGGACACTTACACTTAAAATCCCAAAGAGTTACAATTTCTAGGACACAAAAATGAAGAAAGAGGGCTTGGAGAACTTGATATTTACATGATTTATTAAAGGTAAGATGGGTAGGAGAAAACAACAAGTAACCTGCTTATGCAAAATAGATAGTAGAACAGGAACTGCGAGGGATACAAAGGGGACAAACGTTACTTATAGTTACAAGGTCTAGGAAATCGGGGAGAGTCATTAAGGGAAGCGGCTCATAAAAGTGTTTAGAATTTAGATGGAGATAAAATTATTGAAGCTTTTCTTTAAACTTTCATTAGTTTGACATTCAGCATAAATTAGTTTCACTGTTCATGTACAGTTGGCTGAAAAACACGTACCTGTTTTTCACCTGAATATAACTTCGTAAGGAAGCGTATCCATCACTGTGAGCTACAACCAAAAATCAGTACCTCCATTATGTATCCCAGCGGAAAAAAAAATCATGTGTGCAGTTAGTCCCGACTTGTTCTCTTCAATGCTTACAAAGTGCAAATGCAGACGATATCTTTTTTTTTTCCTGGCGTGTGCGTGTTGTGTCTAATTGACTCTATCCGAAAGATGTATTTGTATAAGTCGGATTGCGTTTTCTTTTTTGCTTTTTGTTTTGTTTTTTGTTTTTTTTCGTTTCATTTTATTTTATTTCTTTAATATGTGAGTTATTTTTTGTGCCTAATCTGATAAAACCAAGCTGGATTTAAAAAAAACTTAATAACGATTATGCTTCCTTCCCTGACTCACTCTTCAGAAAGCGACAAAGGTGGGTGGTGAAGGAGAAAAACGGATTAAAGAAAAAAGTAAAGAGAAAATCGAAAAGAGAACGAATGAAGAGAGTAAACTTCGGAGTGAGTGAATGAGTGAGTAAGGGAGTAAGAGAAAGAGAGTTTGTGTGAGTAAAAATACAGCGGGGGTAATGAAAAGAGAGAGGAAGATCTGTAAACGGTTGAATGAATGAGTCTATTTGCCAGTGTCGACGCGCTATTGACCTACAATTATTATTGCTAATTACATAATTAAAAAATTCACCACTACTACCACCAACTTTTCTGCTATTAATATGAGTGGTTATAGTTACTTTATGATAACGACCACTGGTCTGTTACTAATGATGCTAGAAAAAACGAATTACTTTACAAGAATAGAAGACAATTAAAAATAAAGAAAAAGTAAAAGAACATTATCTGACGTTGTTTTTATTCTATGTAAACACTTTTGAAATAAAACTTTTATGTTAGGTCACTTTACGATTGCTACTGGTACCATGTAAACGACTCCTACCTGCAGTCTGGTCGGATCATTGGCGACTAAACCGGCTCCCCAACCGGGCTTTTCTAGTGAGGAGAGTGGCTACACATCTATCAGGGTTAAAAACAAGACCTGTCAAAGTGCGAATAAATCTTCTTATAGGACCAGCGAACACCTAATACATTGGGATAGACTGAGCTCCATAGCTATGTACGAAGCGCCTTCAAGGAGGACATCGGTTGTGGTTTGACCTTGAGCAGCCGGGGCTCCCTTAAGTTTACGCATAAATATTATACCTCTTCGGCTTTCAATCCAGATATTGAACTGATCAAGTGCTCCGTTACGAAGCGACTCTACAACCACAAATGGTCATGGGACTGATGATGATATTGATGATGATGATGAAATACAACTTATTCACATATAATTCTATACTTACCATAATAAGGCATAAGTTTATAAGAGTGAATTTTTTCAGTGCAAGCTCGGCTTCACTATAGTAGTAACAGTCAACATGACAAGCTTGTTAACCATTATTCTACAGCGAGGTTCACATGTACTTATTACAGTACAAGGCCATAAGTGTAGGGTAGCCAGTAAGGATTAAACTCATTATAGCATCAACGGTCGACAAGACCAGCTCACTAAACACTACTGCAGAGCAAAGTGCCCTAAAACGCTTGTTTTCTACAAGAGATGCTCTGAAAGTAATGCCTTCAATTTGTATGAAGTTGTCCCAAGACGTCAAGGATAGATGTT